ATAATAATAATAATAGACTTTATTTGTATCCCAACCCATATCCCCAGAATTCCATTGAACTGAGCTATGACAGAGAAGGCTAAAGCCCTTGTAAAACTACAACTCCCAGGCTCTCATAATAATAATAATAATAATAATAATAATAATAATAATAGACTTTATTGGTATCCCACCCCATATCCCCAGAATTCCATTGAACTGAGCTATGATAGAGAAGGCTAAAGCCCTTGTAAAACTATAACTGCCAGGCAATAATAGTAATAATAATAACAGATTATTTGTATCTTGCACCATCTCTCCAGAAGTCCATCGCACTGAGATATGATAGCGAAGGCTAAAGCTCTGGTAAAACTATAATTCCCAGGCTCTTATAATAATAATAATAATAATAATAATAATAATAATAATAATAATAGACTTTATTTGTATCTTGTCCCATTTCACCAGAAGTCCATCGCACTGAGTTATGATAGAGAAGGCTAAAGCCCTTGTAAAAGTATAACTCCCAGGCTATAATAATAATAATAATAATAGACTTTATTTGTATCCGGTCCCATCTTCCCAGAAGTCCATCACACTGAGTTATGACAGAGAAGGCTAAAGCCCTTGTAAAACTATAACTCCCAGACTCTCATAATTATAATTGACCATAGGTTTGGTTAATGACTGACCCAAAGTGTAGTCTATCTTTAACCGACTTTAAATCCACACACACCCTTGTTTTAGTCTTGCTAATATTCAGCTTTGGCGCTTTCTGCCTTGACTTCCATCCAAAATCCCGGCTATCGTTTGCCAATAATACGGTATCATCCACCAATATTACATTACTAATTCCTCTCATGTTTATGCCTCTTGCCTCCAAGCGGAATCCCGCTTTCCGTATCAATGAAACAGATTAAAATGCAATCAGAAGCTGTTAGTTTTCTACGCCGTCTTTGAATCCTGAGTATAAATTACACGCTAAAACAATAAAAATATTGTGTGTGTATATATATACACACATAAGTAACATGCTGGAAATTCGAGGTGGAAATGTATAAATGCAGAAGCATGGAAAAGCTCTCCAAAGCAATGTATTTTTGGCAGCCTGCGAGTCTGATGAGGCAGCAAGAAAAAGACAAAGGGCTTTGATGCTGAACGAAGAGAGGCTCACAAAGGGAATTATCTGACTTTGAGATAAGGATTAATTAGTCCTAAAGGAAAAGTTCCCAGCATTTTGTTTTCTGAAGAAGGAAAAAATCCAACTCCCAGGGTTCCCTAGCATGGAGCCATGGCATCGAACGTGCATTAATGCATTAATCGAACGTACATTCTGTGCCCAATTTTATTTAATAGTCGACCATTGCACTGGACTGGATGACCCTTGGGTTCCTCTCTCACTCTATTTACCTGTAGGTCTTTGGGTTGGTCTAGATGGTCTTTGGCTTCCCCTTTGACTTCACAGTCTCCAACCCAACTGAGTAGTAGACCATAGGTTGGTTTACATGACCTTTGGCTTCCCCAATGACACTATGGTCCCCTACCCAACTTGGTAGTGACATTCTAGGTAGGTCTAGATGACCTATGGCTTCCCCTTTATGGTCCCCAACCCAACTTGGTAGTGATGCTCTAGGTAGGTCTAGATGACCTTTGGCTTCCCCTTTATGGTCCCCAACCCAACTTGGTAGTGACGCTGTAGGTAGGTCTAGATGACCTTTGGCTTTCCCTTTATGGTCCCCAAACCAACTTGGTAGTGACGCTCTAGGTAGGTCTAGATGACCTTTGGCTTCCCCTTTATGGTCCCCAACACAACTTGGTAGTGACACTCTAGGTAGGTCTAGATGAACTTTGGCTTCCCCTTTATGGTCCCCAACCCAACTTAGTAGTGGACCTCTAGGTTGGTCTAGATGATCTTTGGGTTTCTCTGTTATGCTTCCCAATGCAACTTAGTAGTGGACCTCTACATGGGTCTAGATGACCTTTGGCTTCCCTTTTATGGCCCCCAATGCAACTTAGTACCGGACCTCTAGGTAGGTCTAGATGACCTTTGACTTCCCCTTTATGGTCCCCAACCAAGCTTAGTAGTGGAACTTTATCATCTTTGACCTCCCCTTTATGGTCCCCAACCCAACTTAGTAGTAGGCCCCTAGGTTGCTCTAGATGTCCATTGGGTTTCCCCTTTATGGTCCCCAACACAGCTTAGTAGTGGACCTTTAGGTGGGTCTAGATGACCTTTGGCTTCACCTTTATGGTCCCCAACGCAACTTAGTAGTGGACCTCTGGGTGGGTCTAGATGACCTTTGGCTTCCCCTTTATGGTCTCAAACCCAACTTAGTACCAGACCACTATGTGGGTCTAGATCAGTGGTTCTCAACCTGGGGTCCCCAGATGTTTTTGGCCTACAACTCCCAGAAATCCCAGCTAGTTTACCAGCTGTTAGGATTTCTGGGAGTTGTAGGCCAAAAACATCTGGGGACCCCAGGTTGAGAACCACTGGTCTAGATGATCTTTGACTTCCCCTTTATGGTCCCCAACCCAGCTTAGTAGTGGACCTTTATGATCTTTGACTTCCCCTTTATGGTCCCCAACCCAACTTAGTAGTGAGCCCCAAGGCTGCTCTAGATGTCCATTGGGTTTCCCCTTTATGGTTCCCAACACAGCTTACTAGTGGACCTTTAGGTGGGTCTAGATGACCTTTGGCTTCACCTTTATGGTCCCCAATGCAACTTAGTAGTGGACCTCTAGGTGGGTCTAGATGACCCTTGGCTTCCCCTTTATGGTCTCAAACCCAACTCAGTAGCAGACCTCTATGTGAGTCTAGATGACTTTGGGTTTCCTCTTTATGGTCCCCAACCCAGTTTAGTAGTGGACCTTTAGGTGGGTCTAGATGACTTTTGGGCTTCCCCTCCTACTCCAGGATCCTTCAGCCTTTTTCCATGAACCCGCCGTGACTCCATCTTTCCCATCTCCTCATCTTTTGCTCTTGTCGCAAAGAGGCTTCAAAGGAGGAGAGAAAAAGATGATTTATGGCTCCGGGGAAAAGAAGGAGAAGAAAGGCGACGGATCAGATCAGAAATGTGTTTCTGGTGTCAAACTCCGATCACGCCGATCCCCGGGGCGGAGAATGGAATTACGAATTGGGGATGTTCCAAGTCCAATCAAGGGACACCTGGCATCCGGATGGGAAAGCAGCCGAGAGCGGGTTCCGCCACCATATATATTACACACACACACATATATTCATGCAATTTTGGGAAAATACAATAAGAGACAGGGGAGAGTGATACCTATTGCCATGCACCGTTTGCACAGCGCATGAAAAGCGAGAAGTTTTGGAAACTAGGATTTCAAATATCTGCTCTCTTATGAAAAGGCCTTTATTCATTACTGGATTGGGTTTCTTCCCTATCCTTTGCTTGCAATCCATAAACATTTGCTTTTCTCCCTATGTGTTGATCCGTATCCGACAAAATATATCCTTTCTAGGAATTTTCTAGGCCCGCCAATGCAACCCCACAGCATTCTTGGGTCCTTCAACAGGGTTCAGTGTTAAATGTGGTTTCAAAGTGGTGTCAAACGACATTAATTCTACAGTGCAGATGCACCCAAAGCAAATAATTATTTGGTTCGGATAATCAATAATAATAATGAATGATTTCCTGGGGGTGGGGGTGCAGATTTTGCATTTGATTTCCATCCCTCTATATCTCGCTCTTCCCCTGGAGGGAACTCCATATTTCATCATAAAACATCATTTTTTATGCTCACTTTGAACTACAAAAAAACATTTTAGATATAGACACACACACACACATGCACATATACACACAGAGAGACATATATATTGCTGGGGGACTAAAAAGTAGAAAATAGAAACTTTCCTAATTTAACCCCTTTAGTGCAAAGTCTGTTTATCTCCAAATTCCCAATTTATTTTTCACTTTGAAAAGAACAAGGATTTTTTTAAAAATTAATTTAATTTTTAATTGTGTTGTTGGCAGGAAAGAGGTAGAGAAGAGAGGAAGGAGAGAAGGAAAGAAAAAAGAGAAGGAAGAAAGGAAAGAGGGGGAGGAAGGAAGGAGAAAAGGAAAGAAAAAGGGAAGGAAGGAAGGAGGGTAGGAAAGAAAAAAGGGAAGGAAGGAAGGAAGGGAAGAGGGAAGGATGGATGGATGGAAGGAAGGAAGGAAGGAAGGAAGGAAGGAAGGAAGGAAGGAAGGAAGGAAGGAAGGAAGGAAGGAGAGAAGGAAAGAAAAGAGAGAAGGAAGGAAGGAAAGAGGGAAGGAAGGGGAAAAGGAAAGAAAAAAGAGAAGGGAGGAAGGAAAGAGGGAGGGAAGGAAGTAAGGACAGAAAGAGGTAGGGAAGGAACGAGGTAGTTCACCCACACCTTGTGCATTTTGTAAAATATGCAATCAACACACATACAAGACATAAAACCATCAATACAATGAAACATAAATAAGCAAAATTTGTATGTGTGTGTTGTGTGTATATATTCCTCCCAAAATATTGATTCAATGTTGGAGGAAACAGAATGGATTGATTTGAGTATTGGAAAAAGGAAAAATTCTCCAAGAATAAAAAATAAAGGTTAAAAAATGAAATAATAAAATGACGGGGCTTTCCGTGGGGAATTTTAGTCCATTTCTCCTAAATATGCTCTACTATAAATAGCTTTCATTGGTATAGTTGAATTGCTGAAAGGAGAGGTGGGTAAGAAGTAAATTATTATTATTATTATTATTATTATTATTATTATTATTATTATTATTATTATTTGAAACACAACAAGATCCACAGCAGACAAATCACTCTGCTTGCTGTTGTATTGTATTGTTGTTGTTATTGAGATCCCTTTCCCCAGAAAAGTCTACTTTATGTGACGATGACCTGAGTCAAATGCATGATGCAGCGGCAAAAAAACCCAATACAATTCCAAGGTGCCTCAATCGTGGCTTTTTGTGGCAGATCAATGGGTAAAAAAAGGTATATTATTCTCACCTGTCTTCTTCCTGATTTTGTAGGATTTCTTGCTGGCCGCAGGGATGGTTTCATTACTCCAAGACCAAGCGAATATTGCGTTTTCGGAGAATCATCCCCATCGAGACCGAATGCAGAGCCACGAAGATGTGGGTTCCCCCATTCAGCAAGTAAGATTTCCATAGGTTCTTGTGGGTTTTTTCGGGCTATAGGGCCATGTTCTAGAGGCATTTCTCCTGACGTTTCGCCTGCATCTATGGCAAGCATCCTCAGAGGTAGTGAGGTGTGTTGGAATTAGGACAATGGATTTCCATATCTTACCAGAAACTGGAATGTACTCGAAGTCTTATATAATAATAATAATAATAATAATAATAATAATAATAATAATAATAATCTTTAGTTAGATACCGTCCTATTGCCCCAAAGGGACTCAGGACAGTGAATCTATCCAACTCAGGCAGGAAATATGTCAGCTCTGGAGGTTGCTATGCACAGGATGGATGGCCATCTGTCAGGATGGATTAGATTGTGTCTTCCTGTATGGTTTGGACGGGATGTCCCTTGCCATCCCTTCTAGCTCTGAGATTGTATGATTCTACAACTTCTCTCCCCTGCAGCAGGGAATGCAAAGGGCCCTGCCCTAAACTACATTTCCCAGAATGCAGTGCTCAGCATCAGAAAGCCCTAATAGCACCAGCCATTTAGAGTCAGTCCCAATAATAATAATAATAATAATAATAATAATAATAATAATAAATGTTATTTATAACCCGCCCTATCTCCCCGGGGGACTCAGGGTGGTTTCCAACAACAACAACAACAACAACGGCAAACATTCAATGCCAGAAATAAATAAACAATAGCCAATAAATCAATAAAATTATTGAATCTGCAAAGAGGACTAAAGTAAGTAAGTAATAGTATAAATCTGTGCTAAGTTGAAGTTATATGGTTAATTGTGTGTCATAAAGACAGATAGGCATTCAAGGGGATTGCTGTTGTCGCTTTTTGAGGGGATAAATTATTTTTGTCTAAACTTTTAAAAATCTCCAAAAATCTGCAGATGTGTGAAGCTTCTGGGGATTGATGCCCTGGTTATCTTGTGCATTGGATATAAAATTCAAGTAGATCACTAGTTTATATTTATATCCACTCGTTTTAAGGGAAATTTTGAATTTTTGAATATTTTGCAAACAATATTTTGCAAAATATTCAAAAATTCCCCTAACATGAGTGTAACGTTCTGAGATTGGAAAATGTGTGGTATAATTATAACAAATTTCATCATAATAGCTCTAAAACTGAGGGAGAAATGAGTCCCGACACTTTCCCCACTTTCTCAATTGCAATTACTATAAGGAAAAAGTAACAAATATTCATTACTCTCATTATAACGACGAAATTTTTACCAAACATACTTTAGAAACACTTTAGAAACGAAATGCCAACACCCCAGTTTTGTAATAACTTTTGAAACACTTTTAATTGATCGTACATGCCTAATATATATTGTGTTTTTTTGTCCCCCAGGAAGGACCGAATTTCTGCCACCAACCGCATGATGGGGACAATGGGGTTGAAAGGTCCCGATCCGAATCCTCCAGCCCGTCCTCTTCACCCCCTGAAAACAACCTTTATGGGGTCTTCCCGTCCGGGGCCCACCGCTATGGCTATGAGGACCCTCCTCGTGCTGGCTTCCTGCGGACCCCTTTCCAGGCCTTCAAGCGGCAATTCACGGAGGAAGGGGACCCCCTTGGGGCAGCGGAAGGGGTCCCCCCTTTCAAGGCGGCCTCTATGGAGCAGGCCTATGAAGGACCTGAGGCTGAGATGTACCTTGCGGGCCCCCAACAAGGATGGGGCAAAGGGCTCCCTTACGGGCTCCCAGGACAAGGCCTGCCGCCCACTTCCATGGTGAGGAATTATGGGAGTTGCAATCCATACCATCATGATTGTTCTGAGCTACAAGGGGGTTTCTGGGACTCGCAATCTGAAAGAATGGAAAGTAGGGGGCAAACTGGGGGTATTATGGCCAAAAAGAGCATGCGTTATCCATAATAATAATTTTATTTATTTATTTCTATCCCTCAAAGCGGCTCACAATCAAAAACATTACAACTTAAAATATACAAATACACAATAATAAAACAGTATATCATTATATATTATCACAGTAATAATATTTAATATATTTGTATTACTATATTACAATATTAGTCTATATTATATTGTATTATTACAAGTATTAAATTTATTTACTATATTTGTATACCACCTTTCTCAGCCTATCGGTGACTCAAGACGATATATTGTATTATATTATAATATTATTACAAATATTATATGTAGATACAATATATGATATTATTTACTATACTTATATACCGCCTTTCTCAGCCTCTCAGCGACTCAAGGCGATATATTGTATTATATTATAATATTATTATCAATATTATATGTAGATACAATATATGATATTATTTACTATACTTGTATACCACCTTTCTCAGCCTATCAGTGACTCAAGGCGATATATTGTATTATATTATAATATTATTACAAATATTATATGTAGATACAATATATGATATACTATGAGATACAATATATGATATACAGCAGTCAGGGGCTGATGGGTTCACTGATGATTCAGGAGCATAGCACAATATTAGTATTATAGTCCTAAAGTTAAAAAAAAACTATGGAACACACTCCCAAATGAGGTAAGATCTGCTCCCTCCCTCCTGGCTTTCAGAAAAAAATTAAAATCAGAGTTTTGGGACCAGGCTTTCGGACAATAGAGGTATGTAGCATTTTAGAGGGACATCAAGTGGAATGGCGACACGGCTGATGAGACCGTTTCACTGTTTTAATTATTGCTGATGTATTGTTTTAATTATGATCTATGTTCAATTGTGGATTTATTATTGTAATTGTTATGTAGTGGCATCGTATCGGTGCCCATTGTAAGCCGTACTGAGTTCCCCTTCGGTGGTAGAGAAGTGATGGGGTACAAATACCATAAATAAATATTTACTATTTCCCTAGGATCCGGACATCAAACTGAAGCCCTCTTCACTGGATGACCCGCCGGGTCTTTACTGCTACCAGCCCCAAATGCCCCCCATGTATTGCCCATCCCATCCCTTCCACCAGGTGAGTCCATCCGGTCTGAACCAAAAGTTGGTTGTGTTGCAGCTCAGCAGTCAGGGGCTGATGGGTTCACTAATGATTCAGAAGGGATTGGGAATTTCCTGGAGTTCAAAGTGATGCCAATTCAGGCCAGGTTCAATTCAGGCCAGGGAAATGAAATTGACTCAGACTGTGCTGAGCTCCATGGTCAGTCACAGGAGACAGAAATAACATCATTAGATAAGGGGTCGAGTGAAGAAGAATGAAGTGAAATGGAAAACTCTCAAAGGAAAGCACCTGGTATTATGAAGATAAGCAAAAATCTTCATTTACAGATTAGAGCAGAGAATCAGCTCTGTAGGTCCGAGAGACTGTGGGAAAGAGATAGAGAAAATTCGTGGGAAAAGACATGATTTCATGACTGCTTATTAACAGCCAGTGTTTACCTTAAAGTCAGTTCAGAGCCAAGTGGTACAATGGGTTAAACCCTTGAACCTGCAGGACTGCTAACTGAAAGGTCAGCAGCTCAAATCTGGGGAGTGGGGTGAGCTCCTGTCTGTCAGCTCCAGCTTCTCATGTGGGGACATGAGAGAAGCCTTTCACAGGATGGTAAAACATCCAGGTGTCCCCTGGGCAACGTCCTTGCAGCAGGCCAATTTTCTCACACCAGAAGCAACTTGCAGTTTCTCAAGTCCCTCCTGACACGTAAAAAATATAGTTCAGGCAACGTTGGCTTTCGATTTAGAAGCAAAGCCTGAGTCTCTGATCAAGTCAAGTCTTGGTTTTGGATTCAAGTATGTTGGAAGCTTTCTATATTATTGTTTTATTATTCTTGCTCAAGTATTTCTAAGTATGGTTCTTGCTCAAGTTTTTTCTAAGTATTTGGATTCCTGTGTAAACCTTTTTGGATTATTCCCCTTCTTTCTTTATTCCTGCTTTTTTCATATATTTTATGTGTTTCTACAATAAACTCTTTGCTTATCCTCTGGTCTCTTGTGTGGTGCTGTGGCCATAGGTGGCTCAACATCTTACAGTTCGAACTGAAAACAGGAGCGTATTCTAAGGTCTCGAATATATATAAAGACTTTCAGGTTCAGGGTGCGACTAGATGGCCTCTGAGTGCCCCTTTTCGGCACTTCCAGGTTGGCATCGTTGACCCGATTGCCCAAATCCGGCCAACCCGGTCAGACCGCTCGGACTCCCTCACCCGTCATTGTCCTCCTTTCCCGAAAAAAATTAAATAGATTAGCCATAATAATAATAATACGACTAACGATGAAGGTGGCAGGTGCCGATGAGCCACTGAAACCCATAAAACCGAAATAGCCCTTTAAAACTGCCCTGCCTTTGCCCCTTACGTCCCGTGCTGCCAAGGAAAGAGCGAAACCAATAAAATCCCGAATGACGACACCAAAGGCACCATCGGCCTGGAAACCTCAAAGGAACTTGCAGCGGATTCACTTCCAATGCAACTCTATGATATTGTTGCGCCAAAGGTCCTTTATATTATACTAGCTGTACCCACCATATGTTGCTGTGGCCAACCTTCCCTCACACACACTCTCTCCTTCCTTCTTTCTTTCTCTCCTTTCTTCCCTCCCTCTTTCCTTCCTTCCCTCTTTTTCTTTCCCTTCTTCTTTCTTCCTTCTCTATTTCTTTTCTCGCTTCCTTTGCTCACTGGTCTCATCCTTCCTTGTCTCTTTCCTTCTTCCCTCCCTCCCTCTTTCTCTCTTTCATTCCTTCTCTCCTTCCTTCCCTCTTTCACTTTTTAATTTCCTTCTCTCCTTCCTTCTTTGCCTTTCTTTTGTTCTTTCCTTCTCTTCTTCTTTCCCTCCTTCTCTCCTTCCTTCCTTTCCCTGTTCTGTGTATGTGTTTTGTATGTACATATATGTGTGTATATATTTCTGTATATATTTGTGTATATGTGTATATAGGTGTGTTTGTATATATATAAGCATTTATTACGGTCAATGACCAGCATCAAAGTTTGTGTACATATGTGGTTTTGCGCATGCGTTGTAATGTATTTTTTGGGGTTTTTTGGCTTTTAAAGTCTCTTCCACTGTGTTTTCCAGTGTTTTTATGAGTGATGGTCCCTCATTGGCCTGATAGGTGTCTTGTGTCCAAATTTCGTGTCAATTTGTCCAGGGGTTTTTGAGTTATGCTAATCCTACAAACGAACATTACATTTTTATTTATATAGATATCCTTCCAAAGTCCGGAAACATGGAGTAATGGGCAGTATACTATTTTGTACGTTTCTGTGTTCCATGACCAAAATAAGCATTAATAATTGTCCTTCTTTTCCGGTTTCTGTTTCTTCTAGTATCCCACGGGGAGTGGGAGCTACCCAGTGACCTACATCTCCAGTTCCCATTATCCTTACCAAAGAATCGCTCCGCAAGGACCTCCGGAGCACCATCAGCCGCTCTTCCCCAAACCCATCTATTCCTACAGGTATCCCATTAGTTTGGGGCTTTTTCATTTTTTTGGGGTTGGTCTAGATGCCCTCTGGGTTCCCTTCTATGATTCTACGCCCTTCTTATTGCCCTTTTGTAGCATCCTCATCTTCATGGCGCTCAGGAACAGCAAAACCGGAAGCCTCCCGGTCAGCGAGATCTACAACTTCATGACCGAACACTTCCCGTACTTCAAGGTGACCATTCGTTGCTCTTTCGTGCGTTTTGACAGCCATTGACATTATCTGACTATCTAGAGTTCCCACTGGGATTGGAACCCAGGACTTTCATGGGGATTGGAACCCAAGAAAACCCTTTAGGTCTTCAATTTTGGGCCCCTACCGGTGTTCTTTGTGTTTACCATGGGATCCCATTGCGGGAAGGAAGTCCCATGAAACCTCACCCAGGGCCTTAATTGCAGCTCCTTGCGACGACGGCGATGGGGATGATGCAACCGGGTCGAGTTAAAACAGAAAAGGTGCGCCCAAATCCTGCACTTTGAAGTCACCTCTCCCTAAGTTTAAAAGCAAAAAAATATATAGATGGGGTTTCGCAACAGCCCCGTAACCTTCCAAAGCGGTTGCTACAGAACCAGAGGGAGGAATGGATCTGGAACTCAAGTTCCCAATAGGATAAATAACCTAGCTGGACCCCAATAGGATAAATAACTAATCAGGGAACCAATACTACGAACAGAGTTAAGAATCTAATAGGGTCAATGGGGGCATAAATAATCAGGGAAACAATACTACCAATAGAGTTTAAAATCTAATAGGATCAATAGGGACATAACCAATCAGAGAACCAATAGTACCAATAGAATTAGGAATTCAATAAGATCAATCAGGGAACCAATACTATCAACAGAGTTAAGAATCTAATAGGGTCAATAGGGGCATAACCAGTCAGTGCTACCAATAGAGTTAAGAATCTAAAAGGATCAATAGAGGCATAACCAATCAGGGAACCAATACTACCAATAGAGTTCGGAATCTAATAGGATCAATAGGGACATAACCGATCAGGGAACCAATACTATCAATAGAGTTAAAAATCTAATCCGATCAATAGGGACATAACCAATCAGGGAACCAGTACTACCAATAGAACTAAAAATCTAATAGGATCAATAGGGGCGTAACCGGTCAGGGAACCAATGCTACCAATAGAGTTAGGAATCTAATATGGTCAATATGGGCATAACCAATCAGGGAACCAATACTACCAATAGAGTTCGGAATCTAATCGGATCAATAGAAGCATAACCAATCAGGGAACCAATGCTACCAATAGAGTTAAAAATTGAATAGGATCAATAGGGGCATAACCAACCAGGGAACCAATACTACTAATAGAATTAGGAATTCAATAGGATCAATATGGGCATAACCAATCAGGGAACCAATGCTAAGAATCTAAAAGGATCAATAGGGGCATAACCAACCAGGGAACCAATACTACTAATAGAATTAGGAATTCAATAGGATCAATAGGGGCATAACCAATCAGGGAACCAATGCTAAGAATCTAAAAGGATCAATAGGGGCATAACCAACCAGGCAACCAATACTACTAATAGAATTAGAAATTCATAGGATCAATAGGGACATAACCAATCAGGGAACCAATACTACCAATAGAGTTGAGAATCTAATGGGATCAGCAGGGGCATAAACAACCAGGGAACCAATACTACCAGTAGAGGAATAGCCAGTTAGGAATCTAATAGGGTCAACAGTGGCATAACCAATCACGGAACCAATCCTATCAATAGAGTTAGGAATCTAATAGGGTCAATAGGGACAAAACCAATCAGGCAACCAATACTACCAATAGAGTTAAGAATCTAATAGGATTGATGGGGACATAACCAATCCGAGAACCAATACTACCAATAGAATTAGGAATCCAATAGGATCAATATGAGCATTGCCAATCAGGGAACCAATACTACCCATTGAGGCATAGCCAATTAGTGATTCACTAGGAGTAATATAAAACCCAATGCACTCAATATAAACATCTTATGGGATCCAATATGGGCATCGCAGGCATCCAATACTCCTAATATACCATAGGTATAGCCGATCAGGGACCCAAACAGGAGCAATGCAGATATAATCAATCAAGAAACCAATAATCCTAATATAAACATATTCAGTTGGGACCTCAAGACATCCAATAAAGGCACAGCAAATAAAGGAAAGAATAATCTCACTATGGGCCTAGTCTGTTAGGGGCCCTATAGGCAATATGGTCATATAGGCACACTCAATTAAGGATTCCAAAACATCCAATGTGGAGTTAATTAGGAAACCAATATGTGTGCTAAATAGGAAACATATGCACACAATATAGGTATAGCCAATTAGGGAAATGATATAGATATTTCCCAAGCTGCCCCCGAATATCTCAGAGTACAACATTCTCCATATCGCCCCAAATACCCAATAAAATGCAGAATACAACCTTGGAAAATGGTTGAGAAAATCTGGGTTGTGTGTATGTAGCCTTCTGTACCCATTTCCCTGACTAATCGAGTGTGTGATTAATTAATTATACAGCGAGATTCTCCCCGGAGGGGAAAAAAAGAGAGAGACAATGCCGGATCTCATTAAACGGAGAGAACATGAATGTAAAAAGAAGGGAGGGGAAGTTTTACGGTCGTAATTAAAAAGGTATTGTTCCATTTTGAAAAAAAGCAGAGCATGCCTTCTGATTTTGAGCTTGGGCTTATATTGGATTCCATTGTTAAAAATTAGTAGATTCCCAAGCGAGACAAATGCCTCCATGATCTAGCTTTGCAAATGTATGTATGTATATGTATATGTATATGTCGGAACCTCCAGTGTATGTATGTATGAATATAATATAATATAATATAATATAATATAATATAATATATTGTATTTACATATAATATTTATAATATTATAATGTAATATAATATAATATTACTACTAATAATACAATATTATAATTATATATTTTATATTACACGTAATATTGCTAATAATATTACAATATAACCGTGAGGTACAATATAGTAATATATAATACTGATATTGTACTATGCTAATAATTCACTATATTGTATGTGTGTGTGTGTGTGTGTGTGTGTGTGTGTATATATATATATATATATATATATATATCTTGTAAGCCGCTCTGAGTCCCCTTCAGGGTGAGAAGGGCGGCATATAAATGTCGCGTGTGTGTATATATATGTATATGTATATGTATATGTATATGTATATGTATATGTATATGTATATGTATATGTAGGAGCCCCAGGTGGCACAGTGGGTTAAACCACTGAGCTGCTGAACTTGCCGACAGAAAGGTCACCAGTTCAAATCCAGCGAGTGGGGTGAGCTCCCGCTGTTAGCTCCAGCTTCTGCTAACCTTGCAGTTAGAAAACATGCAAATGTGAGTAGATCAGTAGGTACCGCTTCAGCAGAAAGATAGCAGCGCTCCATACAGTCATGCTGGCCACATGACCTTGGAGGTGTCTACGGACAACGCCGGTTCTTTGGCTTGGAAATGGAGATGAGCACCACCCCACAGAGTCAGACTTGACTAGACTTCATGTCAAGGGAAAACACTGACCTTCACCTTTAGGCCATTCTGCCTTTCCCACTGAAGCAGTACCTATTGATCTACTCACATTTGCATGTTTTGAAACTGCTCGGTTGGCAGGAGCTGGGCTAACAGTGGAAGCTCACCCTATCCCGCGGATTTGATCGGTAGTTCAGCAGCACAAGGGTTTAACCCATTGCCCCATCACAGCTCCCGGAGTATACGATGAATATGTACACGACTGGACTACATATACATATAGGTAAAGGGATAACCTTTACCTATATGTATATGTATGCATATATGGATGTATATATGGCTCCATTTCACCCTCCACAACAGTGTGGCTGCCCTGAGACTTGCAGTTTGCTGTGAGTAAACTACAACTCCTATGTTGTTACCTGAACTTCACAGGTAAGGTCCATCTGGCCTAAAAATGGCCTCCAGGTGACCTTAGTGCTCATCATCCCTAGGAAGCAAAATCCATTTCTAAATACAACCTTATGGCAGGATGTGGTTTTTCTAAAAATACCAATCATTAGATGACATCCCGTCGGAGAATTGCAGTTCCATAAATGACGGCAGATTTTTATTGCGGCCTATAAAATCCACAGCACCATACATGGCCTAAATAACAACAACAGCAAGAACTGGACTACAATTCTGATCAGAGTTGAAATCCAATATGCCTTTCGTCCTGATTAATGACTACCGAAACATGCTCAGACCTCACAACGTCTGGGGATGCCTGCCATAGATGCAGGTGAAATGTCAGCAGAAAATGCTTCTGGAACATAGCCACACAACCCAGTGATTCTGGCAATGAAAGCTTTTGACAATACAATCTCTTTTTATTTTTCCAGACAGCTCCGGATGGCTGGAAGAACTCCGTCCGGCACAACCTCTCTTTGAACAAATGCTTCGAGAAAGTTGAAAACAAGTCCGGGAGCTCCTCCCGGAAAGGCTGCCTCTGGGCCTTGAACCCGGCCAAAATTGAGAAGATGCAAGAAGAGCTGCAGAAATGGAAGAGGAAAGACCCCATCGCGGTGCGAAAAAGCATGGCCAAACCAGGTAAGGATTACAAACTCCACTAGAAGCTTTGGGGTGTGATTCATAATGGCTAGGAAAGGGGATGCTGGGAGTTGGAGCTCCCTCAAAATGTCATGTTTTGAAACTCTCATAAATTTTATAGCCAACCTGGGAGCTGATATCAATGGTCAAGAAAACCCATGTGGGTCTAGCCCAGTGTTTCCCAACCTTCCTAATGTTGTGACCCCTTATTACACTTCCGCGTGTTGTGATGACCCCCAACCATAAAATTATTTTTGTTGCTACTTCATAAGTTTGCTATTGTTATGAATCATCATGCAAATATCTAATATGTAGGATGTATTTTCATTCACTGGACCAAATTTGGCAAAAATACCCGATACGCTCAAATTTGAATACTGGTGGCATTGGGACTGAAGATTGGTTTTGTCATTTGGAGTTGTAGTTGCTGGGATTTATAGTTCACCTACAATCCAAGAGCATCAATGATGAAATTCAACCAAACTTGGCACACAGAACTCCCACGACTATCAGAAAATACTGGAAAGGTTTGGTAGCCACTGACCTTGAGTTTGGGAGTTGTAGTTCACCTACATTCACAGAGCACTGTGAACTCAAACATTGATGAATCTGGATCAAATTTGGCATAGATATGCAATATGCTTAAATATGAACACTGGTCGAGTTTGGGGAAAATAGACCTTGACATTTGGGAGTTGTAGTTGCTGGGATTTATAGTCCACCTACAATCGAAGAGCATTCTGAACTCCACCAATTATGAAATTGAACCAAACTTGGCACACAGAACTCCCACGACCAACAGAAAATACTGAAAGGGTTTCATGGCCACTGATCTTAAGTTTTGGAGTCATAGTTCATCTACATCCGGAGATCACTGTGGACTCAAACAATGATGAATCCGGACCAAACTTGGCATGGATACTCAATATGCCCAAATGTGTCAATCAATCAATCAATGATTTATTACGGTCTATGACAAGCACACTATAGAATGATATGCCCAAATGTGAACACTGGTGGAGTTTGGTAATTGTAGTTGCTTGACATTTGGGAATTGTAGTTGCTGGGATGTATAGTTCATCTATAATCAAAGAGCATTCTGAACCCCACTAATGATAGAATTGGGCCAAACTTCCCACAGAGAACCCTCATGACCAACAGAAAAGACTGTGTTTTCTGATGGTCTTTGGTGACCCCTCTGACACCCCCTCATGACTCCCTCAGGGGTCCCGACCCCCAAGTGGAGAAACACTGTGTTAGAGTCTCGAAAAAGGCAATTGGCTTTTTAGTTTCACTTTTTCTTCCACTCCCTGACCATGTTTTATCTTGTATTTGGTCTTTTTAGAGGAACTGGACACATTGATTGGAGGCAAGTCGGAGAAGCCAAGGCCCCCCTTGATGGCCAGCAGCAACCCCAGCGGAGTGGGGTCCCGGCAGGTGCCCCTCCTGCACCCTTCTCAACGTGAGTCTTCCCGTCTTTTCTAAAACCCTCAATTGCCCAGCTCCTTGCACCTCTTGACCCTCAACCTTTCTTTTCTTCTGCAGATGGGCCTCAGAGACAGGACTCCCCCGTCCCGGCCCAATCCCCCAAGGTCCTGGCAGGGCCCCGATCCGTGCAAGACGTCCTTGTCCCCGACGGCGACCTCAGCAGCGACATCGATGCCCTCAACCCCTCCCTCACCGACTTCGATCTACAAGGTTTGAGAAAAACACATCCATGTTGGGCACTGGGTTCGAATCATCTCTCGGCCACAAAGCAATGAGTCCCTAATCGACTCTGCCTATATGGTGGTGCATTGATTTCCTGATTTGACTCTGCTCCTGTTGGGTCCATAATCATCTATACCAATATTCCATGTTAAAGATGTGCGATCTAATACAAAAATTATTCAAAAGTCATTACAAAACAGGGGGAAGGCCATTTCTAAAGTGTTTCTAAAGTATAATAACTGAAAAATCAGTTACTATAACGAGAGTAATGAAATTTTGTTACTATTTCGCTCTAGTAATTGCGCATAATTACTCTAATTGGAGCTCCCAGTGGCGCAGTGGGTTAAACTGCTGAGCTGCTGAAATTTCTGACCAAAAGCTCGCAGGTTCAAATCCGGGAAGCAGGGTGAGCTCCCGCTGTTAGCCCCAGTTTCTGCCAACCTACTGGTTCAAAAACATGCAAGTGTGAGTAGATTAATAGGCTACCTTCTGCAGGAAGATAACGGCACTCCATGCAGTCATGCCAGTGGCCACATGACCTTGGAGGTGTCTATGGACAACGCTGGCTCTTCAGCTTGGAAATGGAGATGAGCACCAATCCCCAGTCGGACACGACTGAAGTTAATGTCAAGGGAAAACCTTTACCTATATGTATGCATGCATGCATGCATGGATGTATATAAGAGGTCCTCACAACCTCTGAGGATATTTGCCACAGGTGCAGGTGAAATGTCAGGAGAGAATGCTTCTAGAATATGGCCACATAGCCCGAAAAACCTACAACAACCCAGTGATTCTGGCCATGAAAGCCTTCAACAATACATAGATGGGATATTCATTGGGTTATGTATGATGATGGCCATATTGGTTAAGTGCTTGGCTATGAACACACCAAATAGAGTCCTCAATGATGACTAGAGCTTCCATGCTTTTTTCTTGTTCTTGCAGGAAACCTTTGGGAGGAGCTGAAAGACGACAGCTTGACCACGGACCCTTTGGCCCTGGTTTCCGCATCTCCGTGCTTCCCCGGACAGATGGACGACAACGGTGCTTCTACTGACAACAACAACAATGGAGGCAACAGCCACTGCAATGGCCAGCATCACGGCCTGCCAGAAATCCAGCTCACCACCCTCTATTCGGCCTTCATGGAACTGGATACGGGATCGGCCCCTTTCCTGAACAGCCTGGGAGCCAAACCCATTGCTCTGGTTTAAAAGCCGCTAAAATCCTGAGCGAGAGTCCAATTTAAATGACATTGCCCATCATCACCCCTACAACCTCTACCAATGACGGGCTTGCAATAAGAAATACACATTTCCTCCCATGGAATTGCCAGGCGAAAGGAAACCAGTCCCAATTCGTGAGATTAATCCTCCAACGTAACTCGATGGCTGGTAAACCCAGTTGAGATTGTGAGATATTCCAATTCAGTCCCATACATCTAAAATCCATACATCTTCAAATGCAAAATGTGGGTTTGGCCCGAAATGAACCCATTTCCGAAATTAGGTTGGTGGGGAAAACAGCAAAACGATGAAAATTATAGGAGAAGAAATAAAGATGCTTTGCTTTGAAAAGTTGACGCATGCTCCTTCTGTAATTGGGTGTTTTCTGAAAAAACTGTGAAAAATGAGTTGTTGTAAGTTTTTCGGGCTGTATTGTTTTGTCCCAGAAGCACTCTCTCCTGACATTTTGCCTGCAACTATGTCAGGCATCCTCAGAGATTGTGAGGTCTGTTGGAAACTAGGCAAATGAAGTTAATATATATGTCGAATGTCCAGGGTGAGAGAAAGAACAAGAAACAAACAGGGCCAGCTAATCACCTCCCAACAAAGGATTCCCCCAGGCAGTAAGAAACCAGACCTTGAAACTGCTAGACCAGTGTTTCTCAACCTGGGGGTCGGGACCCCTGGAGGGGTCGCAAGGGGGTGTCAGAGGGGTCAGCAAAGACTATCAGAAAACACAGTATTTTCTGTTGGTCTTGGGGATTCTCTGTGGGAAGTTTAGCCTAATTCTATCATTAGTTGGGTTTGGAATGTGATTGTAGGTGAACTATAAATCCCAGCATATTGAGTATTTGTGTCAAGTTTGGTCCAGATCCATCATTGTTTGAGTCCATAGTGTTCTCTGCATGTCGGTGAACTACAACTCCAAAACTCAAGGTCAATGCCCATCAAAACCTTTTAGTATTTTCTGTTGGTCATGGGAGTTCTGTGTGCCAAGATTGGTTCAATTTCATCACTGGTGGAGTTCAGAATGCTCTTTGACTGTAGGTCAACTATAAATCCCAACAACTATATCTCCCAAATCACAAAATCAATCTCCCTGCAACCTCAAATTTGGGCCTATTGGGTATTTGTGCCAAATTTGGTCCAGTGAATGAAAATACATCCTGCATATCAGATATTTACATTGCTATTCATAACAGTAGCAAAATGACAGTTATGAAGTTGCAATGAAAATAATGTTATGGTTGAGTGTCACCACAACATGAGGAACTTTATTAAGGGGTCACGGCATTAGGAAGGTTGAGAACCACTGTGCTAGACTATTAAATGCTTATCAAGGTGGACAACTGTAACATTCACACCTACCTCAAACAGACAAGACTTCTTTCTCCCACCCTGGACATCATTCCACAGATATATAAACCCCATTTTCCTAGTTTCCAACAGACCTCACAACCTCTGAGGATGCCTGCCATAGTTGCAGGTGAAACGTCAGGAGAGAATGCTTCTGGAACATGGACATACAGCCCGAAAAACGTACAACAACCCAGTGATTCCAGTCATGAAAGCCTTCAACAATACATTGTGAAAATTGAATTTGTCCAAGTGTCGCTTTTTTGCCCTCTAGAGGAAAAGAAGGGAAATGCTGACAGGTTCAAAAACAACTCACAAGTGGGATTTTGATTAATGGGATTGTAATAACAATACAATACACTTTATTTATATTCTGCTCTATCTCCCCGAGGGGACTCAGAGTGGATTACGGTATACACATCTATAGGCAAACATTCAGTGCCTTCTATACAGTGAACAATGGCATACAATACGCAAACAAAGGCAAAGGTTTCCTTTTCCATCTCCGGCGTCTGGAGGCAATGCTCAACTCTGGCCATGGGGAGGTGCTCTTGTTCCATTTTCCATGGCGAGAAGCCTGTTGTCCATAGACCCTCCTGTTGTCTGTAGACCCACCTTCCTATTGATCTACTCACATTACATGTTTCCAAACTGGGTAGGGAGGAGCTAGGTCTGACCGCGGGAGCTCACCCCAACCCGTGGCTTTGAACTGCCAACCTTCCGGTCAGCAAGTTTTTTTTTCCTGCAGCCAGCATTTTAACCCACTGAGCTATCACTCCCGTGATTATGCATATTTCTACTATCTAACAATATCTGAAAAATGTTTTATTCCTGGCCTGAAAGTATTGTTCCTGTTTCATTGTGTGGTCCTTACTTTGAAAGGAGTTGTTATACTCTATAAGCTTCATTTTTGTGGCTAGTTGAGACCCTACCACCATTTCTCAACCTGGGAGTTGGGACTCCTGGGGGGGGGGTCACAAGGCGGTTTCAGGGGGGTTGCCAAGGACCATCAGGAAATGTTGGTCATGGGGGCTCTGTGTGGAAAATTTGGCCCAATTCTATTGTTGGTGGGGTTCAGATTGCTCTTTGATTGTAGGTTAACTATAAGTCCCAGCAACTATTTATTTATTTATTGCATTTATATACCACCTTTCTCCCAAAAGTCAAGGTCTATTTTCCCCAAACTCCACCAGTGTACACATTTGGGCATATTGAGTATTCGTGCCAAGTTTGATCCAGATCCATCATTGTTTGAGTCCACAGTGCTCTCTGGATGTAGGTGAACTACAACTCCGAAACTCAAGTTCATTGCCCACGAAACCCTTCCAGTATTTTCTGTTGGTCGTGGGAGTTCTGTGTGCCAAGATTGGTTCAAGTCCATCGTTGGTGGAGTTCAGAATCCTCTTTGATTGTAGATGAAGTATAAATCCCAGCAACTACAACTCCCAAATGACAAAACCAATCCCCTCCATCAACCCCACCAGTATTCAAATTTGGGCATTTTGGATATTTGTGTCAAATTTGGTGCAGTGAATGAAAATACATCCTGCATATCAGATATTTACATTACGATTCATAACAGTAGCAAAATTACAATTATGAAATAGCAATAATAATAATAATAATAATAATAATAATAATAATAATAATAATAAATTTAACAGTTGGGGTTCAGCACAACATGAGGAACTGTTTTAAGGGGTATGGCATTAGGAAGATTGAGAAATACTGATCTAAAGGATACTCACTGAAAAAACGAGAGCAAAATGTGATGCAGGATGATGTCCCTCCCACAAAAACAAAGTTTGTGCAGTTTAATAAACTTTCCCCATGTTTTGATGATAGAACCAATTAGGAATTGACATCTATAAAACTCAGGAGCAAAAATCATGTTACATAGTGTTAATGTTGCTATTATTTTTTGATATCACTTCCCATCCTTCCTCGATTTGCAGGGCCACAATTCAGAATAAGGAAAGGAATCAGCATCTGAAGGGTGGAGTGCTGAGTTCGAGATCAAAAAGCAAGGAACGCCCCAAAATGGCGCAATCCCCGGAAAGGAAAAGGAGGAGAAATCTTTCACAACCAACACTGAAAGGCCTTCTAAGAAACCGCATCTGCCAACGTTGGCATAAATTCCGAGCTTGGGAAAGTTTTCTTTTGGGTGGGGTAGGAGGTTCGAGTCCCATCATCCACTGCGGATATATTGGTTGGTGGGGATTTCGAATCCCAGAATCATGCCCCCCCCCCATCCCATTGTATTTTTGGATGAAATATTTATTATTTACTAGCCGTCCCCTGCCACGCATTGCTGTGGCCCAGTCTGTGTATATGTATTTTGTATGTATATATGTGTGTGTATATATGTGTGTTTGCATATGTGTGTGCGTGTGTGTGTGTGGTTTTGTACATGCGTTGTAATGTGGTTTTTGTTTTTCGGCTTTTTAAGCCTCTTCTGCTGCATTTTTTAGTGTTTTTATGAGTGACTAGCTGTACTGGCCATGTGTTGCTGTGGCCAAACTTCCCTCCCTCTTTCTCTCCTTCTTTCTTTCTTTCTTTCTTTCTTTCTTTCTTTCTTTCTTTCTTTCTTTCTTTCTTTCTTTCTCTCTCTTTTTCTTTCTTTCTCTCTCTCTCTCTCTCTCTTTCTTTCTTTCTCTCCTTCCTTCCCTCTTTTTCTTTCTTCCTTTTCTAGCTGTTTTTTTCCCACCCTTCCTTTGCTCTTTGGTTCCATCTTTCCTTGTCTCTTTCCTTCCTTCTTCCCCTCCCTCTTTCCCTCTTTCGTTCCTTCTCTCCTTCCTCCCCTCTCTCTTTCCTTCCTTCACCTTTTTATTTCCTCCTTCCTTCTCTACCTTTCTTTCTTTCCTTCCATCTCCCTTTCCTTCCTTCTTCTTCTTCTCCTTCCTTCTTCTCCCTTCCTTCTTCTCCCTTTCTTCTTCTCCCTTTCCTTTCCTTCTTTCTCCCTTTCCTTCTTTCTCCTTTTCTTCTTTTCTTCCCTTTCCTTCCCTTCTTCCCTTTCCTTCTTTTCTTCCCTTTCCTTTCCTTCTTTTCTTCCCTTTCCTTCCCTTTCCTTCTTCCTTCCTTCTCCCTTTCCTTTCCTTCTTTCTCCCTTTCCTTTCCTTCCTTCTCCCTTTCCTTTCCTTCTTTCTCCCTTTCCTTTCCTTCTTTCTCCCTTTCCTTTCCTTCCTTCTCCCTTTCCTTTCCTTCTTTCTCCCTTTCCTTTCCTTCCTTCTCCCTTTCCTTCTTTCTCCCTTTCCTTTCCCCCCTGCTGTGTTTTTCAGTGTTTTTATACGTGATGGTCACTCATTGGCCTGATAGGTGTTCTTGTGTCCAAATTTGGTGTCAATTTGTCCAGTGGTTTTTGAGTTGTTAATCCCACAAACGAACATTACATTTTTATTTATATAGCTGGCTACTTGTTGGCCTGATAGGTGTGCTTGTGGCCAAATGTGGTGTCAATTCGTCCAGTGGTTTTTGAGTTCTGTTAATCCCACAAACAAACATTTTAATTCATAGAGACTAGCTGCCCCCTGCCATGCGTTGCTGTGGACCAGTCTGTGTATATGCACAACAACTACTTTCCAAAGCAAGGACTGCACATTTAAACAGTTGTACATTCCGCATACACACAATGGTTCCATCGTTCCATCACCTTACCTAATGTCTCTTTGGTACGTTTGGGATTTCTATCCTCTGGCAGGGGAACCTATTGTGACATTTCGGTTCCAATTCGCGAAATTGCATCCTGTTCGTTTTGCACCAACTTGTAAAGTCCAAAGCGACTTACCCAAACAGCAAAAGTCCAGAGAGGTTGAATGTTGGAGTCCTCCGTTGAAAGATATTTCAGGCCTGCATTTTTTCCCACTAGGCCTCAAAGCCTCTTTCGCCATAGAATCATAGAATCAAAGAGTTGGAAGAGACCTCATGGGCCATCCAGTCCAACCCCATTCTGCCAAGAAGCAGGAATTTTGCATTCAAATCACCCTTGACAGATGGCCACCCAGCCTCTGTTTAAAAGCTTCCAAAGAAGGAGCCTCCTCCACACTCTGGGGCAGAGAGTTCCACTGCTGAACGGCTCTCACAGTCAGGAAGTTCTTCCTCATGTTCAGATGGAATCTCCTCTCTTGTAGTTTAAAGCCATTGTTCCACATCCTAGTCTCCAAGCTTGCTCCCTCCTCCTCCCTGTGGCTTCCTCTCACATATTTATACATGGCTATCATATCCCCTCTCAGCCTTCTCTTCTTCAAGCTAAACATGCCCAGCTCCTTAAGCCGCTCCTCATAGGGCTTGTTCTCTCATTTTAGTCGCCCTCCTCTGGACACATTCCAGCTTGTCAACATCTCTCTTGAATTGTGGTGCCCAGAATTGGACACAATAGGTGTAGCTTGCACTTCACCTCCTTCACGGAGAGCCTTTTACACACTGTTCCCAAGATGAGATATACCTATGTCAATAACTGAGGCCTAAACTGAGGCCTTGTTGAACCTGAGAGGCTTCAAGGGCTGCCTCTTTCCCCACTAGGCCTCAAAGCCTGTTTCGCCTCAGATTGCGCTTCTTTCCGCCATTTTGCACAAGATGGGATGTACCTATATAGATAGATAATTGAGGCCTAAACTGAGGCCTTGTTGAACTTGAGAGGCTTCAAGGGTTGCGTCTTTCCCCACTAGGCCTCAAAGCCTGTTTCGCCTCAGCTTGCGCTTCCCTCCGCCATTTTGCACAAGATGGGATGTACCTCTATAGATAGATAATTGAGGCCTAAACTGAGGCCTTGTTCAACCTGAGAGGCTTCAAGGGTTGCCTCTTTCCCCACTAGGCCCCAAAGTCTGTTTCGCCTCAGCTTGCGCATCCCTCCGCCATCTTGCACAAGACGGGATGTACCTATATAGATAGATAATTGAGGCCTAAACTGAGGCCTTGTTGAACCTGAGAGGCTTCAAGGGTTGCCTCTTTCCCCACTAGGTCTCAAAGCCTGTTCCGTCTCAGCTTGCGCTTCCCTCCGCCATTTAGCACAAGACGGGATGTACCTATATAGATAGATAAATGAGGCCTAAACTGAGGCCTTGTTGAACTTGAGAGGCTTCAAGGGTTGCGTCTTTCCCCACTAGGCCTCAAAGCCTGTTTCGCCTCAGCTTGCGCTTCCCTCCGCCATTTTGCACAAGACGGGATGTACCTATATAGATAGATAAATGAGGCCTAAACTGAGGCCTTGTTGAACTTGAGAGGCTTCAAGGGTTGCGTCTTTCCCCACTAGGCCTCAAAGCCTGTTTCGCCTCAGCTTGCGCTTCCCTCCGCCATTTTGCACAAGACGGGATGTACCCATATAGATAGATAATTGAGGCCTAAACTGAGGCCTTGCTGAACTTGAGAGGCTTCAAGGGCTGTGTCTTTCCCACTAGGCCTCAAAGCCTGTTTCGCCTTAGCTTGTGTTTCCCTCCTCTTTGCAGAAGACACACACCTCTCTTCCAAAGAGGAGAGCTATCTGTGTAGGTATCTATGTATGTATCTATGAATCTATGCATGTATGTGTGTATCTATCTATGCATCCCCATCAGGGAGATAGGGTGGGATTCAAATAATAAGTCCAGTTGTGCCCGACTCGGAGGGTTGGTGCTCATCTCCATTTCTAAGCCGAAGAACCGGCATTGTCCATAGACACCTCCAAGGTCATGTGGCCAGCATGACTGCATGGAGCGTCGTTACCTTCCTCCCGGAGCAGTACCTATTGCTCTACTCACATTTGCATGTTTTCGAACTGCTAGGTTGGCAGAAGCTGGGGCTGACAGAGGAAGCTCACCCCACTCCCCGGATTCGAACCCGCGACCTTTCGGTCAACAAGCTCAGCAACTCAGCGGTTTAAGCCACTGTGCCATCGGTGACTCCACAAATAATAATAATTTATCTATGTATGCAGGTATGTATCTATGCATCTATTTATGTATCCATGCATCTATGTATGTATTTATCTATTTTTGCATGTATATCTAGTTTCCTATCTGTCTGTCTATCTATCTGTCTGTCTATCTATCTTTTTTCTATGTATCTATCTTCCTAAGTATCTATCTATGCATCTATATGTATCTATCTAGTTTCCTACCTATGTATCTATCTGCCTTCCTTTTTATCTATCTTCCTATGTATGTATCTACCTATGCATCTATGTATCTATCTAGTTTCCTATATCTATGTATCTCTCTGTATTCCTTTTTATCTATGTATCTATCTTCCTATGTATGTATCTATGCATCTATGTATCTATTTATGCATCTATGACTATGTATCCATCTAGTTGCCTATCTATCTGACTGTCTTCCTTTTTATCTATGTATCTATCTTCCTATGTATGTATCTATCTATGCATTTATGTATCTTTCTAGTTTCCTATCGATCTTCCTTTTTAACTATGTATGTATCTATCTATGAATTTATCTAGGTATGTATCTCTCTATGTATCTATCTCTCCCTTAAAGGGATGGCCCATGAGGTCTCTTCCAACTCTTTGATTCTATGATTCTATGATTCTAAGGTATTTCTTAAAAAATGTATTTATTTATTTATGTATTTACAACATATATACCCCGCCTTTCTCACCCCGGAGGGGACTCATGTATATGTATGCTTATATATGTGTGCGTAGTATGTATGTGTGTGTATATATATAGTATGTGTATATATATATATATATGTCTAGTATATGTGTGTATATAGTATGTGTATAGTATGTATGCATACATTTGTGTGCATATATATGGTGTGTGTGTGTGTATGTATCTAGTATGTATATATGTGTGTGTATACACATACCAGATATCGGTATCTATTCTATGGTGTGTGTGTGCATGTATACACACACACACACGCACCCCATATATATATATATATATATATACACACACACACACATACACACACCATATATATATATATGTACACACACATACACCAGGTAGAGCTACACACACACATCAAGTGAATACACACACATACACCTTATATAAATAAGATACCATTTACACACACACACTTATCAGACAACTACACAATTCATACAAACAAAAAAGGTTTCATCATAATCTTATTTAATTTCTTTTTCTGTACATTTAGGATTTCTTTCCTCTGATATAGAACCCCATTTTGCCAGCTGCGAACAGAACCCTTCTGTTCTGATTTATTAAATAGCATCCTATTAATGTTGACCAACTAGAAAACAAAATGCAACACTATCTCTGGAGAGTCCTCTGTCTCAATGGGAAACCGTTCAAAAATGATGGGACTACAAAACCCATCATCCCCATGTCCAATCGTTTTATGCACGGGAAAGGAATTTGCACTGAAAAGAAGGGTCTTTCTAGCTCTCTCCCTCTCACAATTTTGGGAGAATTTCTGGTGAAAGGACATTCATCCTAGACGTTTTGTTTGGACCCACACAAATGCAGATACTGAGCCAAAACACACAGGAATACACACAAAAAGAAAAATTAAACCGAGTGAAATTGCCTTCCCTTAATCTCCATTCGAAGGGCCAACTATTTACTCTAATTGGAAAGGAAAGGGATAAATAATAAAACCTTGGGAAGTAGGTTTGCACTCTTGGGTCAATGGAAGAGCATTTTGGAGGAAGCCCCCTCGTAAATTACGAATATATGATGAATACACCGCAAATCGGGGATAACATCAGCTTATCAGACCGTTCGAGGTGCAAGGAAGACGAGAACGAATACGACATTAACATACGGACCCCTTATCCTTCCAACAACATCAACGGGGATCTCGCATTTTCACAGTAATGGAGAAGTGCTCCCCATAAACCCCCCAAAATGAGAGATCTATTCGGTCCCCGGACAAGACTTTTTGAGTCTCCCCAACACCCCATAGGCTACCAAGTCAATGGGTTATTTTAGTACTCCTCCTTGTGCTTTGTGTTCAAAGAGCGAAGGAATCCGAATCCAAAGTCTCTGCTCCGGGGAGCCTCCAAGGAGCTGAAATCCGACAAAACGAGGGGGAGGGGGCATTGTGTCCCAAAAGATCCGAGACTCGAAATATACCTTTGTCCTACACAGTGCTATGATTTTCGAGGACGATGGGAGAGGCGGGAAACGGGGTCTTTCCTCGTGAAGCTCAGACTAAACGCAAAACTCCCATTTCCGCGCCGCCGATGTCCTCTGTGACGCCGATGCGCGGGACCCGGGGCCCGTTTCCTACAGGGAACTACATCTCTCGTGGGTCACGGCCCGCCGCTGTAGGAATAGTCGGCTTTGTTGTGCATGACCAATTTGTTGTCCACAAAGTAGAAACTGTCCGACTGGGTCTCGTAGGGATGGATGATCATTTCTTGGACTGGGAAGGAAAAGAAGAAATATGATTAAGGAGGACGGAGCATTGCACCCGCAGCTATGTTTGGGGTTCCAGGGACCGAATGGTGCTACTCACTGAGGTCTTCGGAGAGCTGAGGGAACTCGTAGATGTGCTCGCAAGTGTTCTTGCTGCTGGGGATGCAGAAGCCGAACTCAAAGTCGAAGCTCTTGAGGAGCTGGTCCCGGAAGTAGTGCCGCTCAATCATGCGGAAGTTGTTGATAGGCTTGTCACCCACCGTGAACTCCACCCTGGGAAAAAGGGAAGTAAAGGAGTGAGAAGACCACTGATTTGTCATGGGGGGGGGGGGAGTAAAACACACATGTGAATTCCTCCTCTCACGATCTCCTCCAGTTGCGCAATGGGACTGACCGCCTCCAAGGCAAGCCAAGCGAAGTTCCTACCTAAGACATTGTTAAAATTAGCAGAGATTCATATCCCAGCCTCTGACCTTTTTTAGTAGGTCACCGCTTGGATAATCACATTTCTTTATTTTCTTATTTAGTTATTTATGACATTTATATCCTGCCCTTCTCACCTCGAAGGGGACTCAGAGCAGCTTACAAGTTATATGTACATATAATATATGCATAGCACAATATTAGGATTATATATTACTATACTGTACTATCGGAGCCCCCGGTGGCACAGTGGGTTAAAGCGCTGAGCTGCTGACCTTGTTGACCGAAGGTCGCAAGTTCGATTCCGGGGAGTGGCGTGAGCATCCGCTGTCAGCCCTAGCTTCTGCCAATCTAGCAGTTTGAAAACATGCAAATGTGGGTAGATCAATAGGTACCGTTCCGACGGGAAGGTAACAGCGCTCCATGCAGTCATGCCAGTGGCCACATGACCTTGGAGGTGTCTATGGACAATGCCGGCTCTTCGGCTTAGAAATGGAGATGAGCACCCCCCCCCCCAGAGTCAGACATGACTGGACTTAATGTCAGGGGACAACCTTTACCTTAACCTTATACTGTACTATACTACTATACAGTAATATTATTGGTAATATTACATGCAATAACCAATTTTAGTTACTTTTTTGTTAAGTAACTGTGCCAATGGGGCAACCTTAGGAGCTCCTTTCCCTCCTCATCGTTACAGCCATCGGCTACACCAAAGATGTGTGAATGTTTCTGAAACTTGGGGGGAACAATGCCCTGGATACCTTGTGTCATTGTGTACAATATCAAATAGAAACGTTATTTATTTATTTATGACATTTATATCCCGCCCTTCTCATACCAAAGGGGACACAGAGCTACTTACAAGATATATGTACATACAATATATTATATTATTAGCATAGCACATTAGTATTATATTTTACTATACTGTACTATACCACTATACTGTAATATTATTAGTAATATTATATGTAATATAAAATATATATTATATTGTATTATTAGTATTCTATTATATTACATTATAATATTATTATCAATATTATATGTGTATACAATATATTGGATTAATCTGCTGAGCTGCTGAACTTGCTGACCGAAAGGTCACCAGTTCCAATCTAGGGAGTGGGGTGAGCTCCCGTTGTTAGCCCCAGCTTCTGCCAACCTAGCAGTTCAAAAACATGCAAATGTGAGTAGATCAATAGATACTGCTCTGGCGGGAAGGTAACTGCGCTCAATGCAGTCATGCAGCCACATGACCTTGGAGGTGTCTATGTTCAACACCGGCTCTTTGGTTTAGAAATGGAGATGAGCACCAACCCCCAGAGTTGGACATGACTGGACTTAATGTCGGGAAAACCTTTACCTTTACTATACACTATATTATATTATTAGCACAGCACTCTATTAGTATGATATATTACTATATCGTCCTACACCACTATACTGTAATATCTAGACTCCTTGGGAAGTTTACTCTTCAGTTGCTGCTACTTACAACTATTTACGGGTCTGCTATCAGTATACAGAGATACTCACAATCATAGCAAGACATGCTGTGGACCCACAGGGTGAGAACCACTGCTCTAGGATCATTCCTTTCATAATCCTTTCAGTGGAATGTGCTGTGACCACATGTTCATTAGAACTGTATTTTTACACAATGGAGTTATATACAATGCATTTTGATCTAATACAGAATTTTCTACCTGACACGAGTTGTGCTGGAGGACCTAGGAAATGCCTAGAGATGACCTATTTTAGAACTGTGGATCCTATTGGAAGGAAGGACTTCCGGACCAAGACTGCTATAGAGTTTTACTAAGGAAGCCTTTAAAAGCATCCCGACGACTTACGTGGCTCCAACTTGCCGCAGCCGAAGGAAGGCCGGCGTGAACTGGTAGCGCACAAACCGCCCGGCGTTGGGGTCAATGTCCTTCTTGTTGCTGTGTTCACGCTCTGGAACATAAAATAGATAGAGATGTCGACACAGAGAAAGACATCCTCTTGAGAAGGGAGACTCCATCCACTGCTCTCAAATGCACTGAATTTATATTCACCAAAATGGGAACAAAAACCAGACCGAGCTCACTTATTATGAGGATCGATGGCCGGAAACGTACCTGAAGCTGGGGGTTTGGTGATCTCAAACAAGACGGTGCCAGACTCCATGTCTCTGATTTTGAAGCGAGTGAAATCTATCTTGTACACATTCTCCTCTGGGGTGCATAAATAATCTGGAAAGAGGGGGGAAACAGCCTCGTTAAGGAAAAATCCTACAATTTCATAGAGTTGGAACCCACAAAAGCTATCGAGTCTGACCTTGCGCCAGGCCCTGAGTCCCAATTTTGACAGGTTCATATGAATTATATCAATATTAACATATAATATTATATGAATACGAACATAGTATTATTATTTATTTATTTACGACACTTATATGCCGCCCTTCTCACCCCAGAGCGGCTTACAAGATATATATACATACAATATATTATATTATTAGCACAGTTCAATATCAGTATTATATGTTGTAATATTATTAGTAATATTACATCTATATAAATAAAAATGTAACGTTAGTTTGTGGGATTAACGTAACTCAAGAACCACCGGACCAATTGACATGAAATTTGGACACAAGACACCTATCAGGCCAACGAGTGACCATCACTCACAAAAACACTGAAAAACACAGTGGAAGAGATTTTAAAAGCCAAAATTTTAAAAAATTACAACTCATGCGCAAAACCACATAATAATAATAATAATAATAATAATAATAATAATAATAATAATAGTAATAACAACAACAACAACAACACTTTATTTGTACCCTGCTACCATCTCCCCAAGGGACTCGGACATATATACACAAACACACATACACACATACACAAATAAACACAAAACACATATACACAGACTGGGCCACAGCAACACGTGGCAGGGGATGGCTAGTGTAATATGGCTAGTGTAATATAAATATATAATTATAATATATTAATCAATAAAATCAAATGTTAAAAATAATATTATACTACTATTAAATAATGACATTATTATTAGTAGTAGTAATAGTAGTAGTAATATCCCATTCTTATATCTTAATTGAGACCCTAATGCTATAAATAATGACTGGAGGGCTATATAAACACATTATTATTATTATTATTATTATTATTATTATTATTATTATTGGCATCATTATTTATATCCATTCTTACCTTTTAATTGAGACTCTAATGCTACTAATAATGACAGGCAGGAATATATACACACCTCCTCCTCCTTCTCCTCCTATTATTATTATTATTATTATTATTATTATTATTATTATTATTCACTCTTATTACTTGATTGAGATCCTAATGCTAAGGAGGGCCTGATTCTGGCAGCCTAAGAACAAGCCATTAGAACCAATGCCATCAAAGCCAGAGTTGAAAAGTCAATGACAGATCCCAAGTGTAGACTCTGCACCCTCAGCTGCTGCAAGAAGATCATGCAGACAGACTACAAGCAAAGGCACAACACCGTTGCTCAGATAATTCACTGGAACTTGTGCCACAAAGACCATCTGCCTGCGAGAAAGAACTGGTGGGATCACAAGCCGGAAAGAGTTACAGAACATGAACATGCCAAACTCCTCTGGGACTTCTGGATTCAGACAGACAGAGTTTTGGAACATAATACTCGTGACTTCACAATCGTGTTAAAAAATAAAGAATGGATCGTCAATGTTGCAATCCCAGGTGACAGCAGGATTGCAGAGAAACAACTGGAAAAGCTGACACGTTATGAGGATTTAAAGATCGAACTGCAAAGACTCTGGCACAAGCCAGTAAAGGTGGTCCCAGTGGTGATCGGCACACTGGGTGCAGTGCCTCAAGACCTTGGCCTGCACTTAAACACAATCGGCGCTGACAAAATTACCAGCTGCAAAAGGCCACCTCACTGGGATCTGAACGCATTATTCGCCAATACATCACACAGTCCTAGACACTTGGAAAGTGTCCGACGTGTGATTCAATACAACAGTCAGAAGAGTATCTGCTGTGGACTCCTCTTGTTGTGTTTCAATAATAATAATACATCACACAGTCCTAGACATTTGGGTCGCCACTGCCGTGCTAAGAGGCTTTGCCCTCTGACAGCCAAAGTGATAAGCGGCTTTGCGGGCCAGAAATGGCCTTTTGTCAAAATGGGCCAGGGATGGGACTTTCCCTCCGCATCCCGAGTCGCCCACTTTGCGATGGCCATTGGGTTGGGGATTCTGGGATCTGCAGTACATAGATTGGCCATGCTATTCCAACTAGGGATCCTGGGAGACGGTCCAACCATTGCCATGGCAACAATACTGATGTGGATGCGTTCGTGTGCAAGGCTAGAAGTGCTTTGTTTTGGGTTTTGGAATATTGGGACATCTATAATGCATATGACAGTTAGAGGAAAGTTCCACCTTGTCTCCTGTGCTATATAATATAATATAATACAATATAATATTCTGTACATACATATAATATTTTAATGGAATGGAATATAATACTACTAATAATAATATGATATTATAATTATATATTTATATTACATGTAATATTACTAATAATATTACAATAAAATGGTATAGTGCAATAGAGTAATATATAATACTGATATTGTACTATGCTAATATAACATATTGTATATACATATAATACTTATAATATTACAATGCAATGCAATATAATACTAATAATATGATATTATAATTATATATTTATATTACATGTAATATTACTAATAATATTACAATATAATGGTATAGTACAATATAGTAATATTTAATACTGATATTGTACTATGCTAATAATATAATATATTGTATGTGTGTATATGTGTGTGTGTATATATATATGTGTGTGTGTGTGTGTGTATATATATATTTATATATCTTGTAAGCCGCTCTGAGTCCCCTTCAGGGTGAGAAGGGCGGCATATAAATGTTGTAAATAAAGAAATATAATGAGACACAAGTCGAAATAAGACATTCATTATGCTCATTATACAATGCTGCTCCATGCATCCTTTGGGGACACATTTCCAAACTGTAATAATAATAATCTACATGGATACGTAAAACCCACAAGCCATTAAAACAAAGCCCTTCCACTGATGTCACAAAGGGCCACTTCACCTAGCCTTTCTGGAGCAAACATATATGCAAACAGACATACATACGCACGATGAGGTTATTATTATATTAATTTTTAATTATTATTATTATTCTCAAGAGATGGAAGATGGGGAATGTGACTTCGGCTCAGATTCTTAGGGTTGGAAGGGGACCCCAAAGGTCATCTAGTCCAACCCAACTGCATGGCTGCTGCTGATTATTACTGTTGTTATTATTACTGGAGAAAAAGGAAGGGATTAACACGGTGCAAAAGCCCATCTGCACCTTTCTCTGCATCGCGGTCACCGAACAAGTCTGTTGCTTAACCAGCTTTGGTTGAGTAACCGACCGGCGAGGTCAGCTGCTCTCTTAAAAGACGTCAGGTCTAAGACGAAAATGCTTTCGGAGCCACAAAGAGACCCAGAAAGACCTAGAAGGTGAAGGCATGCATCCAAAAGTAGGCCAGGAAGAACTTCCCTGGACAGCCCTTGTGAAGAAAGGCAGTCTTTCTAAGGCTGTGTCCATACTACATCCAAAGGCACAGAAACCAGGATATAAGGAATACTGAATACTGAAACAAAACTGAATGGCGAGAAAGAAATTTTGAGTCTCAATGGTTGGAAAATGATGCATCAAATTATATATATATATATATATATATATATATATATATATATATATATATAGTATAGCCCCATGGTGGCGCAGCGGGTAAATCACTGAGCTGCTGAACTTGCTGACTGAAAGGTTGGTGGTTCGAATCCATGGAGTGGGATGAGCTCCCTCTGTTAGCCCCAGCTTCTGCCCACCTAGCAGTTCAAAAACATGCAAATGTGAGTAGATCAATAGGTACCGCTCCGGCAGGAAGGTAAGGGCGCTCCATGCAGTCATGCCGGCCACATGACCTTGGAGGTGTCTACGGACAATGCCAGCTCTTCAGCTTAGAAATGGAGATGAGCGCCAACCTTCAGAGTTGGACGTAACTACACTTAATGTCAGGGGAAACCTTTACCTTTACCTCTCTCTCTCTCTCTATATATATATATACACATATTCGTGGATGCAGAATCTGTGGATAGAGAGGGACAACTGGGATGATACTTTTATTGTTTATTATTGCTATTATATCTATGGACGCAGAATCCATGGATACGGAGAACCAACTATAATTATTTTTAATAATAATAATAATATTATCAGTGGATGCAGAATCTGTGGATACAGAGGGAAGATTGTAATGACTTTCAATAAGAAGAAAATCCATGGATGCAGACAGCTAATGGTAATGAATTTCTGTAATAGGCAGTAAGAGCACCTAAAGCTTCGGAGAGCTTCTGTTCTACCCTCTCAAAGCTCCCTGCTTGAGCAGTGATGGCATGATTGTTAGCATAGATGAAACACGTCAGTGTTTTAGATAGATTTGGAATCAGCTGGTTTTCCCTGTAACAGGCAATAAGAGCACCTAAAACTTCAGAGTTTCTGTTCAACCATTTCAAAGCTCCCTGCTTGAGCGGTGATGGCACGATCGTCAGCATAGATCGTTTCCTCAGAGCTCAATATGCGTGTCTGTTCTTAAGGTGGAAAGCACATGTCTGCGTTTTACATGGATTAGGAATCAGCTGGTTTTCCCTGTAATAGGCAGTAAGAGTACCTAAAGCTTCAGAGAGCTTCTGTTCTACCCTTTCAAAATTCCCTCCTTGAGAGGTGATGGCACGATCGTCAGCATAGATGAACCTCTTTGTCCCTTCTGGCAGTGCCTGGTCATTTGTGTAAATGTTAAACATTGATGGAGCAAGCACGGTCCCCTGAGGCAGGTCATTCTTCTGTTTTCGCCATCTTTGTCTCTGACCCTGGAACTCAACAAAAAAGCTCCTGTTACTTTCCCTTATATTTATTTCTTTAGGAAAAGCACTGACTGGCCAAAACTAACACAATGAATGTCAACAAGGACAAATGTAAGATATGACACTTAGGCAGAAAGAAATGAAATGCAAAGATACAGAATGGATGATGCCTGACTCGACAACAGTCTGCGAGAGAAAGGTCTTGGTGAGGAACAAGTTGAACATGAGCCAAGAGTCCAAT